ATAACCTTTTTCTCATCGGTTTGATAAGCTTTCGGCGGCGCTATTATATGCAGTGGATTGTCGTAGTCGTCGTCATACTTCTCTTGAGCCCAGTCCTCATCGATCTCCACGAAAGGTACCTCTCCTTGGATTTTAATCTTTATGTGAGACCATAGCTAGTGTCGTGTTTTTAAGACATACCGGTGCCCACTTTGGTGAAGAAGTGTACTCCTTCAAAATGAATATGCAGTATATAAATACAGAATACAGAATATATATATATATATATATAGAAATGCATAATTTACCAGCAAACTCCAATAATGTGAATACAACGAATAGGAAACACATAATTGTGAACCAATCGAGAGCTGTGGCATAGCTATCACAGTAATGGCAATCCGTTATTGAGATCAATATATCACTTGTTGTGGATGTGATCCATACCTAACTCGTGGCAAATCACTTCGACTGTCGAGACCAAATGTACTTAGAGTAAGGACAGCAGTTACTCCTAGATTTTATAATTGATTGCATTTAATGACAAAGTTTGACAAAGTTTTCAAATAAATAAAGTTTTCTTTTATTTTTGCCGCAAAAAACTAATGCATTATTTGATTCAAAAGTAAAGCAAATAAATGTTAGAATTGAAGATTCGCTTCAAAATATTTGCTAATATTGTATATATTTTGTCGAAAACACTAGATTTGGTGCCTATAAAAAAAGTTTGCTTCAAATTAAATTATAAAAGAATTTTATTTAAAATAAAAGTCAAATAATAAGCTTAAAATATATTTCAATTTGAAAAAAGCATCGACTCCTCAAACTATTCACATATAAATCCTTTATAAATGAATACATAATAAATATTTATATCTTAAATCCATTTTCAAATCATTTATAAAATAGTTTTTCAAATTTGCTCAAAATTATATTGAAAATAATCAATACATTACAGTACTAGTAGTGAAAACACAGTTCTTGAAAATGATGGAAATATACAAATAATGATAAATTCTTAATAAATCTTTGAATGCACTCCAGAAAAGCAAATTTTACTTATTATAACAGTTACTATAGATATAATTCATTATTCTTAGAAATACATCNGGGATCCGGCGATTGTGTCCACTCGTGGCCCACAGTGTCTGCGCTCAACGACACCGAGTGTTGCGTCAAAAGTGAGCCCAAGAGGTGGCCTAAGAGGTGGCCAAAGAGTGGCGCGAATAGCGATCGCTTTCCCGACAAATTGTGGCAATTGGTGAGCGACTGCACTACCGGTGCCATCGGGTGGTCGGCCACCGGGCACTCCATTCTCATAAACTACTCGTCCTTTCAAAGGCAATACTTAGACACTTGCGGGCACTTCAAGACACGCAATATGTGCTCATTTGTGCGTCAATTGAATTTATATGGCTTTCAAAAGGTATCCAAAAAGTCCAAACGGATCCCATACACACTCACTCCCACTCACACACCCACACAGACATCACCCAAACCGGTGCCAGAGATTCACGAATTCAAGAACGACTTCTTCCGCCGAGACCAACACCAATGGCTGCCTTTGGTTTACAGGAGATATTCCCTGAAGAGTAAGACTAACGACGAGAACAGTGTTCAGTTGAACGACACGTGTGTCCGAAAGGCCGCCAAAGTGATGGCCGCGAACACCAGTCGCCCATTGGGTGACCCGTTGGTGACCAACACTACCACTAAAGCGTGCAAACGATACAAACAACGCATCGGTGGTCAGAAGGGACCCAAAGTGGCGCTCAAGAGTGTGGACACCAATACATTGAGCTATTACTCAAATGAACTCATTTTCAGCAATAACTTCGAGAAAATGTTTGGTTACTCTTATGAGACTAATGCTCACAATTTGGTCACTAATGTGTTGACCGCACCTCAAGACTCACCCAATGTTTGCCAACAGTTTAGTTAAACTATTCTTAAATGTGTTTTGTTTATAGATTTTATAAAATACTATTTATTTTTTGACATATAATTTGTTCAATATTTTAATTTTACGTTATTTTAATGTGTTAATAGTTTATGAGTTTTATTGTAATTATCGGTTTCCATACAGTTTTCATATAAACATTTCAAAGTTTATTGTAAATCTATTTTAAAGAGTATTTGTTATAAATATTTATTACTGTATTTATTTTTTATTTTATACTAGAAATGAGTTTTAGTTATTTATTGACTCGTTTTTATGTAAAATATGTCTATCTTTTCAAATAAAAGCAAATGTTTTTTAAATGGACTCAAAATTTAATTAATGAGACATAAGTTGCTCTCAAATATTGACTCATGTTTTCATTATCTGAGACTTTTTTCTTTTGACAACTATTTGTGTAACTATTACTGAAAATGCCTTAAAGAGAGAAAAATATATCATTTCGTTGCACTGTATGAGTGAAATGTAAGCAAACGTGTGATCAGTGCCTCAAAAGTGAGACTTGTATTGAATTCTTAAAGAATCACATCTTTTCATTAGTTATGTTTTCATTCAAGCATTTAATCCTTTGTTTCAGTCATTGCTTTTGATTGTGAGACAAGAATTGTTAATCCAAACAAATTTTGGTTTTCATTCAAATGAGACTTAATGCAAGAATTGTTTCAAATTAAGTACACAAACTTATGATGTATGCATTTTATAATCAATTCCTTATGTACTGCAACCATAGTATCTATAGAATAGTATACAATACTGTATTCCGAATGTTAACGAAATCTTTCACTAAAAAAGTTTATAATAATAATAATCAAATAAAATATAAAAGTTGTGACTTTTAAGTATAGATTGTATTTTCAATAATTGTCTGCAATTGAGACTCCATTGGAGCCAATGAGTGGACAGATATATGGATATAATTAATAGATTGTATTGAATGTGAGAGCAGTCACGCAATATTATAGCCATAGGAATGAGAAATATAAAAGTCTTTTGTGAGAAATATATGAAAAGAGATATATTTTCAATAGAAGTTAACCCATAATAAAAAATATTGGGAAACGCTATTATAAATAGTAAACTAGTATTGACTGATTGAATACAATAACCTTTTTCTCATCGGTTTGATAAGCTTTCGGCGGCGCTATTATATGCAGTGGATTGTCGTAGTCGTCGTCATACTTCTCTTGAGCCCAGTCCTCATCGATCTCCACGAAAGGTACCTCTCCTT